GTCCTATTGGATCTCGAGGTACGTTGATACTGTAGATTCTTGTACGAAATGCTATTCTAACTTTTACTTTGGGGCATGCCACAGAATCTGTCTCCTCCACCATCAGCTAAAGAAAGCTTAATGATACTACGCCTGTATCCTTCGGAGGGCAGACTTGGTAATGGTTCCAACACACCAGCTAACCAACAAACCACCATCAGTTCCTCTGGTGTTCGTGTGGCAGATCTTGGTTATCGAGATGACCAATTTCTCAAGGGTTTTCGTCGTGGATGGTACGTTTGATGGCGGAACTATCTACACGTACAAGTACTAATACCTTTGTCCACAATTGATTAGGTATAATGAGTCTATATACTTCCGATGCGTGGGAGATCATCCTAATTGCTTTCTCTCCGGGGGTAACGCGAGCAACTCAACGAAGTTCGATATTCGCGAGGAACACGACTTCGGCTATGATAACACGCGGGTGATGATCGAGCTGCCCGACGAAGGAGTCGTTTACTGTCGAGGTGTCGGTGACAACCATACCAACCCAGAGATGGCGTGTGTGCTTTTTGACCATGAGGGCAACGCTCGCGAGCGATACGCCTATCTGGGAAAACTAGGTCGATGGAGTGATATCGTGCAGTAAGTGGCAAGGAATCACAGCAGGCTTCTGTGGCTAGCGCTAATAAAAATGCAACATGTCTTCAATCTACATTAGAGTGATCGCACCAGAGTGTTTACCTTTGCATTGGCGGATAATTTTATTCTTCTACTAAAGCTATAAGGTTGAACAGATACTTCCAAAAAAACATTTTACTTAGTGCATTGGCAAAGGATATTTCGGCTGGGAACACCATAGTAATGATCTGTATGATACCGTGATGTTCAACTAGACTTGTGAGCAGCTCAAGCTGGTGCAGGATCAGGAATTGAACTCGGTTGAGTTCTGGTGGCGAAGACAAGCTTGCCGGTATGTCTAGCGCCTAATTATGGGTAGCTTGGTCATAAGGAGTTTATATTTATGTATATTTGCAGAGACGAAAGAAGCATCCAGTATTATTTTCTTACAGCTCCGAGCTATTTACTTGCTCAGTGACCCATGGGTTATCTCGCGTTGTAACAAAATAACTAGAAAGCTTAGAGGTTTCGATCCACTTCAAAAACCGCAAATCCGAACTTGAAGGGCAACTACGCACACACTGCCAAAACAGGTAGGACATCACCACACGAGCAGAAGTAGCACTGCCACGTTGAATCTCTCCAAGGTGAAATGGACGCCAACATTAACGAGTACAGCATATAATAATAAACGAGAATAGTAAACGCGAATGGTATCCACAAGCAGTAGACGAAGCGATGTGGTGCTTCACCGCCCCGGACCCAAGTGCGAAGTCATTTTCCGGCGGTGTTAAACGTGTGTGCCGTGGGCATCCTTGTACACGCAAGCAATGAGAGTGTTGCCTTGAAGTTGAATAACCAAAAGTTGGTACTATTTACCTCGGTTAATTCTCATCTTCCCTCTATTAGTACCAGCATTTGGGAATTCCTACGAACTTCAACGTCGGCGATCACTCGGCTCCTCGTCTGGACCTCATTCTCAATTCCGTCGGCTGGAGTTCATCTCTACGCCCCTCATTCCGTCGACTGAAAATGCTTGCAAAGCGCGTGTTGCGTCTGGCAGCGAAGCGTCCGACTGTGCTTCGTTCTCAGCATTTTGTCGGTCGTGCTCTAGGCGGAGCTTTGGCTCAGCAAGTGTTCACACGGGGCATCACAACCCCCAGTCTTCCCAATTTCTCGTCCTCGGCTGTAGCTGAACACGTCGCGAACTCACCGGATCCGACCGAGGCGTTCGATTCGATAATACACAAGTCACCGCATGAAGACATCGAGATTCCGGACCACACCATCTGGGAGGTGGCTGCACGCCAAGCTCGCGTCAATGGGGACAAGCCCGCCTTTGTCTGTGGTCTCACCCACAAGACGGTGACGTTCCGAGAGCTCTTCACGGGCGCTCGTCGTCTCGCGGCGTCGTTCGCACAGGAGGGAATCCGCAGGGGAGACGTCGTGGTGCTGCACTCGTTCAACTGTATCGAGTACCCCATGGTCGTGCTTGGTGAGTAACCAAAGCTCTTAACTTACTGAAGTTTAGACTAGACAAAGCTAACTATTGAAAAATTGTTGTTGTATAGCTTTGACGGGGATGGGAGTGGTGTGTTCGCCGGCGTCGCCCCTGTTCGTACCCAATGAATTGGCGTATCAACTCACACAGTCCAAGGCGAGTTACCTGGTTACACACAAGCAACTGGAGAACGTAGCTGTTGAAGCTGCATCCATGGCAGGGTTGATGAATGCAGTCACGTTCACTATGGGGACAACCGAAGCAACGGAGACGCACGACCTCAAGAGTATCAAGTATGAAATACCAGCTCTCGTATGTAGACTTCTATTGACTTACCGTTGTTTTGTCGATGTAGTGACATGGCCGCTCAGACCAAGTACGATTTCTTCTATGAGCGTATCGACCCCAACTTGAAGCTTATGTTGCCGTTCTCGAGTGGAACGACCGGCAACCCGAAGGGTGTGGGGCTCAGTGCCAAGAACTTGCTGGCAAACGCACTGCAAGTCAGTCACGTGGAGCCCGAAGGAGAGAACTTTCTGGGTCTCGTACCGTTCTTCCACATATACGGCATGATGCTGATCCACCTCAGTATTCTACAAAGTAAGAGTATCGTCATCTTACCACGGTTCATGCCGGACACGTTCCTCAACGCGTTGGCCACGTACAAGGTGAGAATTAACCGCAGTTCGGCATTGTTTGGCTTCACTAACCTGTTGCTTTAGATCCGCACAGCTCACATCGCTCCCCCCGCAGTTCTGTTCCTGGCACACCATCCACTAGTGGAGGAATTCGACCTCACGTCCACGGAGTTCGTAGTATCAGGTGGAGCACCGATCGGCAAGCAAGTCGAGAGTCTGGTGCACAAGCGTCTGGGCCTCAATGTCAAGCAGATCTATGGAATGACTGAGTTATCCCCTGCTGTCAATTACGGCGAGGACCACACTCGCAAGCCGGTACGAAGCAGCGAATATTTTAGTTATTTCCAGTCAAATAACTTACACATTGGCCTAGCAGGGGAGTGCCGGTCGACTGGTGCCGAATACCGAGCTCCGTGTGCGCTGTATGAACACAGACCGCGACTTGCCGCCGAACCAAGAGGGAGAATTGATGTACCGTGGACCACAAGTGATGCTGGGCTACGAGAACAACCACGAGGCCAATAAGAACATCTTCACTGAGGACGGATTCCTTCGAACGGGGGACATCGGGTACATCGACAACGACGGCTTTGTGTTTGTCATTGATCGAGCTAAAGAACTTATCAAGTACAAGGGCCACCAAGTGGCTCCTGGTGAGTTGGAGGACGTATTGAACCACCATCCGGACATTGCGGACTGTTGCTGTGTGCGCGGACAAAACGCACAGGGCGAAGAGATCCCCAAGGCGTTCGTGGTGCTGCAACAACCGGACAGTCCGAACCGTCCGACACCGCAGAGTATCATGGACTATGTGGCAGAGCACGTGGCTCCCTTCAAGAAGGTGCGTGAGGTGCAGTTCATCGATGCGATTCCGAAGAACGCGTCGGGTAAAATGCTGCGTCGTCAGCTCCAGGAGCGCGAGAATCGTCTGCACAACGCTTAGTTGGTGCAAAAGGGAGAAACAGAGTTGCATGTTTTGTCGATGTAAAATTGCGAATGAAGCGTATGAACTGAAAAAAAAAAATGTTTTCCTCTTCGTTCGAGGCAAATGAATTGAATTTTATCTGTACACGTTCCTATCGTACTGTACACTTGTTGCACGTTTGCAACTTGGAATTCTTTTTTATCAACATTGTCACTTGCTTGGTCGGTAACAGCGATGTTGGTGTCATTGCAACGCCGTTGGGCTGGTTGTGACGGTCTTCCTGGTGTCTAACGTCTTGTGTCACTTAGTAGCGGCCGTGGTGGTGGTGGCGCGGAGGACCTTTCTGGACAACAACGGGCTGCACGTAGACGACGCGCTGGGGCGGGGGTGGTTGGTGGCGGCGGTCGTCGCGGCGGTCGTTGCCGCCTCCACAACAGCAGCACGCGGTGAGCGAGCCGCAAAGGCAGCAACACATGTCGTCGCCGTCGCACGGGCAGCAAATGGGGATGCACATGGTTGAAAAGGTGTGGTTGGGAGGGTTTGAAGTTGTTGCTGTGTGGCAAAATGAAGAATGATGAACTTTTGCGGCGGCGACTTACGGAGACTTGATAATACAGCAGTTCGCTGTTGCGTGGATATTTGCCGATGTCCAACGTTTGATGAATCTGCGACGCGCGCACACTTAATTCCAATAAGAAAAATCGAGTGTTTTTTTTTGCTCATGATGGGAGGGCATTCCCAAGATAAATATCCTGTAGACCATTTTCGTGGTAAAGTTGCAGGTTTCGCGAGCCAACCAGACTGTGTTGAAGTGGAAAGGTGCCCAAAGATTTCTTTCGATCAAATTTGGCACCAACTTGGCAACATGTTGCGCCCGCAAGTATTGCCAGTAGTTGCCTCGACTATACGAAATTTGGGCGGAGAGCTCTTTAGAACATGCAACAAAACAATTAAAAGTGCCGCCATCTTGCAAACTTTCCTTTCCTTTTTCAGTAAGTGGCAAAACTGGCGGCGAATAGCTACATTGAACAGCGGGAGGCGTTCGCCTTCCTTGTGCCTAAGGCGATGATCAAGCGACGTCGCAAGTGGCGGCAACAGGAGCGCGAAAAGGCTGTCAGGAACGTCTTCGAGGCGCAGATGCACATGAGGATGCGGCGGCAAAGTCTGAAGCACGCGGAGATCAGGGAGGTTCAAGAAGTGGAGGCGGACTGCGTGACGCTGGACTTGGGTAGTGCCAGATCCAGGGACAGTTGCCTAGCTCCGGAGCAACAAACCAAGGACAAGACTAACGACGTGAGGCTCGCGCAGTGGGTGCCGCATTCGATCGAGGAAGAGCTGTCGAGTCCAACATCTTCGGACGGGAGTGGAAATGTTATTGGAATGGATAGCGCTAGGCCGGACGAGGATCTGGTGCTGAAAGTCCGGCAGCCGCTGACGCAAGACGCAAAGTTCCGGCTGGGAAGACTCGGCGGGTTGGATATGTCTCGTGCCGTTCCAGCGTTCGTCTACCGAGTCTTTCTAGCTGGCGAACACCAGTACAGTGGAGATGCGACGGAAGGAAGTACAGGAGTCTATCGAGTTCCGCGGCTTCTACACAATTCAAAAGCAAATCTCCCGTCGCGACCGGCGCACTGCTACGTATAAGCTATAGCGTAAACTCTGTCGTCGGATTAGAACCTATTAGAACTCAAGTAACCTGGTATGGTACTGCCACTTCACCTCTAAGAGCTGAGGTTGCTAACTCGTTTCCTTCCGGTTCATTCGGTCGATTGTCTTGATGCTTAGTAGTACCCGCGGTACGGTGGGGGGCCTCCCTGGACGACGACCGGTTCCACGTATACAACGCGCTCGGGCGGCGGCGGCGGAGGGCCTCGGTCACGACCGCCTCCACCACAACAGCAACATGCAGCCAGGGCTCCGCATAGACAGCAGTCCAAATCTCCACAACAGTCGCAGCCCGGTCCATCACAGTCACAGCATGGACCACAACAAAAGCACCCGTCGTCGGGTCCATCGTCGCAACAGCAGGGGATGCACATCGTAGCTCGGTTTGTCTGGTATTTGGTCGGCGCTTCGAGGTCGGATTGAAGAATGAGAGACGCAGCAGATCAGGTCGCACAGGTGGGCTGGAGACGTGGGTGTATCGTATGGATTCTCTGTGCTATGCTCGCGGTGCTGATCACAACAATCTGTGACGTGTGGGAACTCGCTCAGGTTTTCGTAGGAAATTGCGGGACTCACAAGTGTAAACAAATTGTGTGCTTAAGTATATTGTTACGTGCAACTTGCACGGTTGGCCCATGGTACATGCATCTATTAGGGAGCGACTTGGTCCAGACAGAATGTTGTGTAATGGTGAGCTTACGTCGTAGCTGCAACGAGACGTTAGTGGCTCCCTACTCGCAAGACCTAAGCTATCACTCGGCAACAAAATCACTCTCTAAGAGGCATATACTCCACGTCTATTGTCATTGCAGAGTCGGTTCTAGGCTTGTGAGATTACTTTACAACGCTGGCGGGGATGGTTTCCTGGCCAGACTCCAGTTCGAACGCCTTACACTCGATCGTAGTAGCCGCCGTAGTGGCCGTGGTGGGGCGGGTGACCGTGGTGTGGGGGACCATGCTGGACTACCACGGGGTTCGCGTAGACGACGCGGTCGTGCTGAGGCGCGTGGCGATGGTGGTCGTGTCGGCGTCGATCGTCTCCTCCACAGCAGCAGCATAGCGCCGTGAGCGAGCCGCAGAGGCAGCAGGCGAAGTCGTCGTCGCAGGGGATGCAGATAGGGATGCACATAGCTCGGTTGGTATCTGTCGTAGCCTCGGTGCAGGCTTCGGAGCGTAGTTGGCAGATGTAGGAATGGCAGTCTGATGTTCAGACCTCTTGAAATGGCTGCTTTGGATTTTCTGGGCTGTCCAACGGGGCCATGATCGAGATTATGCTGGGACCCTGCGACGTGTGCAAACTTGGTTAAAGTAACGCAGTGCTGAACTTCAAAATAACGAGTGGAAATTTTTAATCGAGCCTGCGTTGTGAAATGACCCGTGAAAAGAGATTGTATCGATTCAACGAGACATCTGTCCATTTATTGGATAGAACCTCTAATATCTATGCGACATGTCTGATATAAGTGCTCGGATTTGTAAATAAAAGAAAACAACCCCGGCACCACAGCTCGCCTTCCAGCAGTCGACACCCAGTATACTACAGTAATACGCTGTTTCGGACAGCAAATTGCTGACAAGCCGTTAGAAAAGAAGGTAATAACCTTAAATCTGCGTAGATTAATGAACTTTGTTAGCGTGTACGCCTGGTTGGCGTCGATGTAGGCCACACCGCTTGGCCTCCGTTCTTGTAAGCACGTTCCACACGAGCGAAACGATCAGCCGAAGCATGTCGATTCACTTCGGCGGTGAGAGCGTAACCGGGAAAGCTTTGATCTCTACTGTGGCAGGGTAGCTGGGAGGAGTTCGAGTTTGCTGGTAGGGACCAGTACAAGTACTGTTGTAGCAGTTGTTACAGGCGGAGCAGCAGTCCATACATCCACAGCAGCAATCTGAGCATTCACAGTCTCCGCAGTCGCAGCCCCCGCAGTCGAGATTGCAGTCACCTTCACACATCTCGCGAGCAATCTTGTGCGTTTGGTGTTCGAACAGATAATGTCCTGGCTGGAGTGTAGTTCTAGTCAAGACTCTTGTGGTCAGGAAGAATCCACACACAACGAAATCGATAAAGTTGATACTGGGATATGAGCCGTCAAGAGCTTTGGAGTGGTTGACAACTGCAAGAGTATCCGCGAAAATCTCGTAGGGAGGTTACATCGCTTACTTGTTGTAACTGCAACTAGCTACGTACACTGGGAGGCTTGCTGTGAGCCGAACGAATCAGTAAGTAATGAAATAGGGCCATGTTGGAGTCGTGCATCCGTCGACAACCGACAAACGAGGAGCATGACTAGCTTGAATACTAAACACTAAAATGTAGATAAGTGTACTCTATGCATTTTTGGTCGTTCGCAGAGTGAAACGAAGCTGTCAGGTTGCTGTGACTAGATCGGAAACAACGTATTATGATAACAAACCTTAATCGAATCTTCTAAACTTAATGTGTGTTGTACTTCCCTCTCTGCAAAAAACCTGCCTGAAATTGTTACCCTGAGCAGCTTTGGGTGCGTGAATAATGTTGGTATAAAACTTTTTTTTTATTGGACTGTGTTACCGCACTGCGGGTGGCGGGCGTAAGTGGATCGACGTCGCGATGGTCGAGTAAATTTCCGAGGTGGTCCACGACTGACGGTGACTGGCGCGACGTAGACAACATTCGTCTTGGCTTTCTGGGGGCGACGGCGGCGGTTTCCATCCTGTCTGGCTTGGTCGTTGGCGTTGATGCAGCAAGCGGTGCAGCAGGCTCCACAGACGCAGCAAAGAACATCGTCGAAGCACATCGTGGTGTTTGTGTTTGTTGTGCGGGCTACGAGGAAAGTTGTAAAGTGAGCACATAGCTCGCGTATCCCCAATTAATCGAAGCGCTACCGCACGAATTTCCGCTGTCCATGTCCATGGCTTTGGATTTTCGTCTCTCCGAGTCCAACGTCCACAGACCTTGGCTCCTTAAAGTATGGTGTTCACGATTCGATCATTTTTCGGGCAACCGTGCTACATGTATCAGGTGAGCGATTTGCTTACGGTACAACACTGTTGAACACAAGCACTTGTCTAGCAAAGAAGCGTACAGTAATGAACGCAAGAGCGCGTTTACTACTACGAAACGAACTTTGTTGTCAACCAAGCACAAAAAAGCAAATTATGGTATCGAAATCGGCAGACCGATCAGAGTTTTTTTTTTCTTTATATATTTACACTGCTTTATATGATTAGATAAATATCGTGTAGCTGGCCGTTATTGTAGCTCGATGGGGACGACCGGAATCGTGCGATGCTAGTCGAGAGCTTGACGCTCGATCCAGTTTCGCTTCTATGCATTGCCTTCTAAGCCTTGCCTACTGGACGCGCGTAGGGGTATTCTTGGTGGGGTGGCGGTGGAGGCGGGTAGTACTCCTTCACGACCACCGGCTGAACGTACACGCGCCTTGCCGGATACGCATAATAGTCGCGCCTGTATCGGTCTTCTTCAGCTGCTTGGGCACCGGCGAGACAGCACGAGGCACAGGCCGCGCCTGCTAGACAGCTGCAAAGTTCGTCGTCAAGCGGAATCGGGAGGCACATTCGCCGCTGTGCTTGTGTTACTGTTGTCTTCTTCTGCTTGTTTGATCCTTGCTCGTGTTAGACGGTAAATTGAGAAGTGAGCAATTAAGTGCTAGCAGTAGTTGTAGCCCTCGCGGTAAAGTGTCCAACGAGCTCCTTGTCACATTTCTGAATTATCTGTGACGTGTGTGAAGTTGGAATTTGTAGGAAACTTCAACGTTCCTGTCTCATTCTAGAAAAAATAGATGAAAATCCGCCAAAAAGAGAACGTTTTCGATCTAGTTCTAGATTTTTGGAGGTGTGATCATCGCTTGCATGCTCCGCGTGGTGCTGGATCCAGCAACCAAGACCGGAAACAATGCGGTGCTACTCCGCTTCAGTCCACAAGATCGTCATGGATATCTTCACGATGGCGATATACTTTTATTCTGAGCCCCCACCTGCTTTGACGCTCCACATTCAATCATGTTCTTTCTTTCGATCAAATTTGGCACCAACTTGGCAACATGTTGCGCCCGCAAGTATTGCCAGTAGTTGCCTCGACTATACGAAATTTGGGCGGAGAG